TCTGTCTAATTCCGTAACACTCTGGAGCAGCACTGGCCATATGTCACATTGCCTGGGAACCAAGCAGCCATTTCACAGATAGAAGTTGGTGACAGGTCTTATGTGGGCTTGCCTGACCCTGGGACCAGCCTGTGCTTTTGCCTGAGCTTTTGGCCCGTGGGTGCAGAATATTGGGTTTGTGACTGTGGGTCGCGTTGCTGGCTCAGGATCATGGGTGTGTGTGTACTTCCCCAATGAATTTGTAGGAGGTGGCACCGACTGCCAGTAGCAGTTCTTAGGGAATCCGTGACTGAGTGTTTTAATCCTTACATCAGCAATGAGCATTGGCCCTGGTCACCAAGAGCCCTCCGAGAGGAAATACAAGCATTGTGGGTATTTTGTACTTTCATGCTACCTTCAGGATCCGGAATGAGTCTTCATGCAGTGAGGAAGCTGCAGAGGGCATGAAATGCGGGGCCCGAGGCACTGGAGCCAGTCACCTCTTGCACTGGCAGGTGACATGTCCCAGAAATGGTCCAGGCAGAGGTTGCAGGACAGTGAGTTCCAGTCTGGGAGGTAACGTGAAAAATCAGATGTGAGATGTGGAGGCAGAGGTGCGTGGTGGGGAGGGCAGGGATGTCAAATAGAAGAGACAAAACAGTACAAAGTAGAGTCAGTGCTTCTCAGACTTGAGGAACTCTCAGTAGCAGCAGCGTTGTGTTGCTCCCTGCCCCCAGCGTTTCTGCTGCTGTAGATTTGGAGGGCAGCCTGAGAATCTGCATTTCCCACTAGCTTGTGCGTGGTGCTAAAGCTGCTGTTCAGGGAGCCTGTGTGAAGAAGCCTAGTTCTGGAGGAATTCCAGAGAGAGGCCTGTGGCGGAGGGACTTTCCTCCAGCTCTAGACAGGCTGCCCACAGAGAGCCAAGTTTGCTTAACAGATACAGTGCTTTGGCTTAGGTTTTTCTCAAGAATCCTGAGGCTTCTCTATTTGTATGTAAACTAAGGCCTATTGCCGTGTATTCTGAAGATTGACTGACTCTCTTGGTCCCATCTTGATTGCCCCAGGTCACACATTTCCTGAACTCTGTGAGCTTAACTTGCAAAGGGAGGGTGTCACTAATTGCATCTGGGGGAACATTAAATGAAGTTGTATATTCAAGCTACTAATTCTTGGAGTGCCCGCATACAAATATTGCCTTGAAAATGTTCACTGTTGAGGCTGGAGCAACAGCACAGCTGGTACGGCGTTTGCCTTGCACTTGGCCGACGCGGGTTTGATTCCCAGCAACCCATATGGTCCCCTGAGCACTGCCAGGAGTAATTCCTGAGTGCCGAGCCAGAAGTAACCTCTGTGCATCACCGGGTGTGACCCAAAAAGCAAAAAATAAATAAATAAATAAATAAAAATAAAGAAAGAAACTATTCAATATTACTGGAACACCAAAGTAAACACCTTCATTCAGGAATGCAGCTTCTTATCTCAGCCTTACCTGATCTGATCCCTGTTCCTATCATTCATGATAACTCATCTGCTCAGAATAGTCCTGAGTTGGCAGGAAGTTATAAATTAGATGTAAACAATGGAATTTGAAAGACCGAGTGGATTATAGATAGCAAAGAATGTGAAATTGCTTCTCGAAAATTTCAGAACCCAAAGGAAGAGTCCTTATCTGGGGCCAGAGACCTCCTGCCTGGGGCCAAGTGCCTGGATTTGTTTTCTGAACAACACCCTTGTCTAGCTCTGTGACCTTGAGCCAGTTCCTTGACCTCTCTGTGCCTCAGAACCTGCATCTGTCAAATAGTGATGCTCAGAACCCCTAACTCAGCAAGTATTTCTCAGGATACCTAGGTACGCACTCAGGGAAACCACGGTCAGTGGCCATTTCCTCAGCTCCAATTTCTTGTCCCAGGTTCTATGTGTGACAGAGCTAGGCTCAGCCCAAAGCTGCTTCTTCCCTGGGCAGGTAGACTCATGTGTGCTTCCCTTGGCCTCTCCCTACCCAGCCATGGCCCTGACTTCCTGTGGTCCAGCCAGCACCTGTCTGGGTCTCCCCTTCAGTGCACTCCTACCCTTTCTAAGCTGCACCCTCTTCCCTTCTCCCCCCTCATGTCTTGACTTCTGTCCCCCAAATCTGCTCAGGTTTTCACTCAAATTGCTCCCCACATCACAACCAAGCTGACATCTCTTCCATCACGTTTCCCATCCCTGGAGCCCCAGGCAACCAGAAGACCACCCCAGGCCCAGCACATCAGGAACCCAGCACCCAGGTTCCATCCCTGCACCCCACATTCCCTTCAGGCCCCACCAGGAGTGTCCCTGAATGCAGATCCAGGAGTCGGCACTGGCCCCAAAAAAGGACGAAAATATCCCTTGCATAACTTTATGGTTTGGGGTTTTTGTTTGTTTGTTTGTTTTTTATTGAAGCCATAGCACAGCAGGTAGGGCATTTGTGTTGCACGTGGCTGACCCAGTTTTGATTCCTCCATCCCTCTTGGAAAGCCCGGAAAGCTACCAAGAGTATCCCGCCCGCATGGCAAAACCTGGCTCCTCGTGGCATATTCAAAATGCCAAAAACAGTAAACAACAAGTCTCACAATGGACATGTTACTGGTGCCCGCTCGAGCAAATCGATGAACAATGGGAGGACAGTGCTACAGTGCTATTGAAGTCCACCAACCCCCAATCCTTCTTGCATCTTTCAGACCTTGTGGCATGTGTCTAGTTTGCCTCTCAGATCCACAGAAATTATTCTTTGAACCTTTGAAAATTAGATGTGAACCAAATATCTGGAATGCTAATAAATAAATAAATAAAATGTGGCCCCCTCAATCCTACCCCTGGAGGAGATCTAGGAGGAAATGTGCTGCCGGCCTCTTTTATAATATCAGGAATCGGAGCACCTGCGATGGGTGTTCTTGAAATTTAATATCCTTGCCTCCTACTCTCAACAGACGGGATCGAGCTGCCATTTGAATGAGGGATTGAAAGTTCATGCTACAATAGTTTTGCTTTTATTAAAGTAGTATTAGAGAAATAGTCAACAACGGTACTTGTAACCAAATGGGTCCCAACGGTCACTGTCCAGCAGGAGTGCTGGCATGGCTGGCATTTGCACAGGGAGCCTCGCTCCCTGCTGGCTTCTGCCTGTCCTGGAAGGCAGCCACCTCCTCCCCTCTACCCCTATAGGACAAAGGACTCCACCATCAATTGTCTCCCTAAACATTTCTATCGACATAAAGTGGAGGAAGAAGAGAGGAGCAAAGGAGCAAATGACCAGAGTGCCTCTGCCTTGGAAGTTCTTTTGCTGCCTCACTGGTGGTGGTGAGGGCAGAGGCTGCTGGTGTCCAGGCAGGAGTGGGCACTCGGCCCTCAGCCACCTGGGTTCTTTCAGGATGTACCCAGACACCCAGCTGGCCAAGAGAGCACAGTGCACATCACATGCGTTCCTTAAAAACACTGAAATTCCCACACACTTACAGACATGCAGAAAAGGAAGGGATGCTCATTTGTTACTCACTCCCTGGTTTTGTTTATCCCCTGCCTCTTATTTTGGAAACTCCGACAGCTGTGCTCCTCACCCTGACCTTTTGGTGGCACTGTGACCCTCCAGCAAGATAAGCCTTCTGGATTCGGAATATCAGAGCCCAGAGCCAACTCTCAGGGAGAGAACTTGAACCCGCAGTGGTGGAGGCTCAGGAGATGAAGAGGTGGGAATGTGGACCCTTTGTGTCATGCTGGTGCAGACACAGACCCGCGTTAGGTCCCCAGGTTAAAGGCTCAGCCCCAGCCCAGCTGCACTTAAGCCGCTTTGGTGACACCAGACCACCCACCTGCTCATCAGCGATCTTCAAGGTCAGGTCCCCTACACCTCACCTTGGATCGTTTGCTAGAACCCACCACAGAACTCACAGAAGCCCTGACAGGCAGTGACAGCCTGATGCAGCCACCGCAAGCCCAGGGAGGGACTTATGCTCAAGGATGCAGCACTGGGCATCGCCGACCAGCAGGCTGGCCTGGGCCCTCCCAGCCAGAGCTGGTAGGAGTGACCTGTGGGCAGCATGACTGGACTCAGCTTACAACCCCTTGGACCTCTGAGGAGGCTGCGTGGTGACTCGGAGTCTTGACTTTATTCAGAACAGCACGACCCTCCACCCCAGCACCCCCACCACACACATCCCCACCCCAACACTACTCTGGAACTACTTTAGGAAGCCACAGTAAATCACCTCAGTGTCAGATCCACTGTGTTTCCAAGGGCCTCCCACGAATCACAAAGACACTGTTATCATTTAGGGAATTGCATAGGTTTCAGAAGCTCCCTCTTTGGGGCCCAGATCAGAGGCAGTGAGACCAATCCTAAGTGATTCTCCAATGCATGGAGTATGGAGGAAGAATGGAGCTACCTATAGTCCCCACAAACTGGGAGTCAGGAATGTAATCTTAGGGCAGCTACTGGAAAATGTCATTGGAGTATAAAATAAATGGTTACTGGACACCGGGAGTTTTCTTATTTATTTTTCACTTACTCACTCACTCTGTCACATTTATCGATTATGCCCCACACTAAATGCTTAAGATGTCTAGTTACAGTATCAGTGAGAGAAAACTGCTTATTTGTGTTATCTGGAAAAGGAGATTTGGAACTGTCTGCTTTTTCAATTCCGGTGAATAAAGTAAAATTAGATCACTTAAGTGAACCAGAAATCCAAACTAACTTGTGCTAGCTCAAAATGTCTTCGGAGTGCTTAGTACTCCGGATGGCGTACTTAGTACTCCTGAGTACTTATTGCAGCCCATCCCGATGTGTGCAGAACCTGGGGGGGAGGGGGGCGGGGGGGAGGATCGTGGGAGAAATCTGTGGATTCTGCCTAGTCTGAGGGCCGCCATTTGCTCTGACCATTGTTTCAGACAAAATCCTGAAGGACTTTGAAATGTGATGTGTTAAACTTTGTCTGTTTTTGTTTTTGCCTTCCTGTAATTGGATCAGCATACTAATTTCTCCAAGTTGTGACTACTAACAGAGAGCAATCACCTCACAGACTTGTACCGGAGGGATGAGACCATCGAGGTGACAGGCACCGGCCACCTGCAGAGCCCGCGTTTCCCCAGCAGCTACCCCCGGAACCTGCTGCTCACCTGGCGACTTCGCTCCCAGGACCAGACGCGCATCCAGCTGGCCTTCGACAACCAGTTTGGGCTGGAGGAGGCTGAGAATGAGATCTGTAGGTGAGTGTGTGGTGGGCAGGCCCTACGGCTCTTTCGCCTAGGCTTGGCCGCTCTACTTCCTTCCCACCCTTACCGCAGATGCACACGGTAGCGTCAAGGAAGGCAGCTGCTGCTGGCCAAGCCTCAGCCTGATCCCAGGGTCCTGCTAAGGCAGTGTGGGCACTCCTGGCCAAGGTGGAGGACAGTGTCCTGGAGTCCTGGCCTGCCAGGACCTTTCGGTGGGATTGTCAGCCCCGGGAGAGGGGAACAGGGACTATAGGAGGGCCTTGCCGGTCCTCTTTGAGTTCTGCAGACAAACCATCACTCAGGCAAGCTCAAGTCAGTTTGTTAAGAGAGAAACTGAGAAATGTATTCATGACAGGTAGAGAGACCTAGAAAATAAAGCAGCTGGTCACCTGGTCCAAGATGCTATCTTTAGAAATAACGCAGAGGACACTCGAGAAGGACAGAGGGAGGTCAGTGAGGGCGGTCACCCAAAATAAAAATGAGGGGAGAAGAAAAACCCAGCTGAATCGAAGCATGCAGGTTCAGATTTCCCCGGTGGCGAGGCTTCCTACGAGAAAATTCTTCCGTGGGAATCTCTGTTTCCATGCTCCTCTCTGCCCTGCCCCCAGCACCCCTCCCATGCAATGAACCTTTGCCAAAGACATATTTGGGGGTGGTAGCTGCCTGAAGGCATCGTTTTAAGGCCCCAGCTGTGTGTGAAGGCAGCTCAGGCTGCCTGGGGGTCCCTGGGCTCCTTCCAGTCTATTTCTGAGTTTCTGGGTCAGCAGTAGATGAAAGCTCACCAGATAATCTTGTTCCTCCTTAGCATATTTATCAGCCAGTGCACAGCCATTGTTCTTTGAATTGTCCTCGGCTGAGTCCTGGGCCCTTGATTAGTATGTGTAAGACTTGGGGAAGATCTTCCCCCACCCTTTGTACTTTACTTCTTTTGCTTGTTCTGCATTGCCAATGAACTGCTGAACTGCTAAATTCCTTCAGCAGTTTTATTTTCCTTTGAATAATAAAAAGAGGTGCCTCAAATTTGGCTGTCCTTTGTTGCGTGTTTATTATACTGACAGCTTTTATTATGTTGCTGGATTTTTTTTTTAAGAACAACAGCACCAACTATTACTTTCTAGGACCATAGAGGGTAATGTATGCTAGAAAGCAGATAGGATTGCATGCCGGAAGAGTCAGGTAATATATGCAAAGAGAATAAACTAGAGCAGATCTTGCCTTTTCAACCTTGAAAGGGAGAACTAATTTTCTCTGCTGGAAAAAGAGAAGAGAGAGAGAGAGAGAGAGAGAGAGAGAGAGAGAGAGAGAGAGAGAGAGAGAGGAGAGAGAGGAGTGAGACAGAGAAGGGAGAGAGAAAGAAGGCAGAGAGAGTAGAGGGGAGAGAGAGGAGAGAGAGGGGGAGAGAGAGAGAGAGAGAGCAAAAACAGAACCCCTATTAAAACCTGTGAGCTGCTGAGAGGGAATCCGCAATCCGCATCTTGCCAGCCAAACCGTTCTGGGGCCTGAGGGCGAGGGAGTCTTCTGTGTGTTATGACCTTGAAACTAGAAGAGGAAACTGAGGTGGTTTCCTCTTCCTTAACTCTAATGCTCCACCAAATTTCTTCAAGGAGGTAGAAGAGTAAGAGATGGAAAGGGGGGAGGGGGGGAGGAAATAGCAGATTTGACCGAGAACTCAGCCTGATCTGCAAGTGCGTGGGATGGAAAGAGTACAAGAGACAGGCACTTGCCTTGCACAAGGCACTTAATGCTCAGCACCACGGCCTATAAGTCCAAACCTTACCAGGAGTCCTTCCCGACTACAGAGTCAGGAATAACCCCTTCATCCCTCCATGATTTGCTCAGCCCCTCCCAAAAGAAACAAACCAGTGCTTTCTTAGCCTGAAATCCAATTTGAAAATTGAACTGATGTCTTTTTAAAAAAAAACAAAGTGACCTATTGTATTAATAATGAAGTTTCAAGTATCACTGTCTTGTGCCGTAAAGGTGATTTACACGTATTGTATATAAAATGCAAAGCAATTGATTTCCTACCATCTGTTCCAAAGCCTTCTTAATGTTTGCATTGTAATATTTTATTGCTTGAATAATGATTCTTTGTTAGTGCTTTTCACCTTCCAAGCACCACATAACCGTTCAGTAATTAATTTACACAGTACCCAGGAGATATTCAGCTGATAGAATTGTCTAAACTTTCTTATTTCATTCATGAGGAAACTGAGGCAAAGAGCAGAAACCTCATAGATTATGGTCAGTGAACTGTATTCCGATCAGCCCTTTTCAGGCTGCCCTGCTGATCTGGTCATAATGGTGAGGTACCTGGATTGGACCCTCAAGGTCGTATTGGATATTTCTCCTATTCAGATGTGTTATTTCTCTCGCTGGATCCTTTGGTTATTAAAGGTAAAGGTAAAGGCCCTCCCGTTGATCGTCGATTTGCTCGAGCGGGCCCAGTAACGTCTCCATTGGAGACTTTTGTTGTTACTGTGTCTGGCATATCGAATACTCTCGGTAGCTTGCCGGGCTCTCCGAGAGGGGCGGAGGAATCGAACTCGGGTCGGCCATGTTGGCCGCTTGTAAGGCGAACGCCCTACCTGCTGTGCCTTTGGTTATTATTGGCACATTATGTGAGGTCTGCGCCTTGGTTGTCCCTTATTCTCCCTGTGGCACTAGAACCTGAGATTATTTGGTGGGGCAAAGATTCCTTTGGATTGACACATTTGTCAATGTCCCCACAATTGAAGGGCAGGCAATTCAGCTTGTTGTATAAAACATTCCAGGATCTCAAATGTCTGGAAGTTAAAAGAACAATAAACATTAGAGGATGTCAGTGCTGTAAAGATGTACTATTACATGATGGAAAGATTTCAAGGATCAAGAGCTTAACGAGTCTTAAAGAGACCTTTTCTCTCTTCTTCAACCTTGATGTTCTATTTCTTTTACCAATGCTAAAGGTGACCTATGGTTAAGCTCATTTAAACTCCCTCATTAAAAGCAGTTCAGATATTTTCATTATTTTCTGTTGTTTATATATCCCTCCTGAAGTCCTGTGCTTTCCATCATTATAAATGCCATATTTCACGGTAATAATCAAACAAAAATATTTACAAAAAGAGAAGATAGCAATTTATTTCATCATTTATTTCTTTAATGTGAGTGCTGGTTCTATAAGCTATCTAGTTATAGATCATTTGCTTTCTTAAGGAAGCACTGGGTAGGGTAAATTAATTCAAAGTGGGGTTTTGGGGGAAATGTTAAATATTTGAACATATAATTAGAGCAACATGTCTTAAACTACAAGAGATTATAGTTAATAGTATTTCAGAGAAAAAACTTTTCTACTCAGAAGTGGCCCGATTTGATTGGCTTCAGAACGGTAACACCTAAATTTGTATGAATTCTTTCAAATAGGTTTTCTTTGGAATTTGAAAGACCTTGTCTAAAACCTGGTCCCTTCTTTTAAAAAATTTTATATGATTATTTTTATTTTATATCATAGGTCATGAGGATTCACATGTTACTTTTAATTTTTTAGTGAAAGTGTAAATTTTTAGTGAAAGTGTAAATTTCTACCTTAGCTAGAATTTTCAACTTATGTCATATTGATACTAGGTACGATTTTGTGGAAGTTGAAGATGTGTCTGAAACCAGTACAGTCCTCAGAGGGCGATGGTGTGGACACAAAGAAGTGCCTCCAAGGATAACATCAAGAACAAACCAGATTAAAATCACCTTCAAGTCTGATGACTACTTTGTGGCTAAACCTGGCTTCAAGATTTATTATTCTTTTGTGGTAAGTACCTTAAACACCTCGTGATTTACAGCAGACACTGATTTCATGAAGCCTAGAGGTTATTTTCTTCAAATAAGTATTATTTATGAGGGTTATTTAACTTTATTAATTAAAGTATTAATTAATTTATTGATACTTTATCAGTGCTTCATTAATTAAATGTCTACTATTTAAATGAGCTGGAGCGATGGCACAGCGGTGGGGCATTTGCCTTGCATGCAGCCGACCTGGCCGACCCGGGTTTGATTCCTCCACCCCTCTCGGAGAGCCCGGCAAGCTACCGAGAGTATATCACCCACGAGGCAAAGCCTGGCAAGCTACCCGTGATGTATTCAATATGCCAAACACAGTAACAAGTCTCACAATGGTGATGTTACTGGGCCTGCTCGAGCAAATCGATGAACAGTGATCGAGGACAGTGACAGTGACAGTGACAGTAACATTATGTATATATAGTAGTATATGTATACACTATATATATATATATATAGGAAAGCCCATATTACATTCTGTTCTTCTGAAACAAGGTAAATGTACAAACCAATAGAAAGTTGTCTGTGTGATTTCAATCACTGGAAAGAATACTAATGATTTTTATTTGAATTGTAACCAAATGTGAGAAGAATTTCTGTTGTATAAATCACCGAGTGTCCTCTGGTCAGCTCCTTTGAACAGTAAGCAGGGCAGGGTGCTGGCACTTCTTAGAGTCTAGAGCCTGGTGAAGCTCAGCACGGAAAGGGCATTCACAAACAAGGTACTATATTAAAATGATGAAGGCCAGGGTGCTGTAAGAAAAGCCAGGGAGAGGTGGCCATAGTCTTGTCTGAAAACTGTCATACATACCGTGAATTTGTGCTTTGTCCCTGCAAACTCCCTGTGTTTTTCCAGTAAAACTGACTACTGCCAGCACTGATGCTGACATAGAACATGAAATGGCAGATTGGCTTTTTCCATCCATGTTTTCTTACAATTCAAATTTAGATGGGAAAATCTTGCTTTTTTTTTTATAAATCTAACTTTTTTTTTTGCATTATGAGTTATTAAGCAGTAAGTGAGTTATACATCTGAACGTCGTCACTGGGAAAATAGCATGCCATGGCACTGGTTCCAGTTTTAATTTGAAAATAATCCACCAGGTGTGATTTACATGATTGCGAACGAGTGCAGAACTGCTCAGCATGAAAATTAAAATGTGAACCTTTGGTTTCTGCATTTCTTTGCCTTTCAATGTGTTTGGTGACACCTCTGCCCTCAATTGCTTGTGGACAGAGCAGGCCATGTAGGTTGGAATGGTGATGGATTGGCTTATGAAGGGTCCCTCTCCCCTGTTAAGATTTCAGGCACTATCAGTGCTAATATGCCTGCTTTGTGGGAAGCTTCAGTTGTGACTAAGCTGAGTGGTCCATCAATAACTCTAATACAGAACTGTTAAATATGTCATCTCATTTTGAAGAAAAAGTATCTTAGAGATTTAAGGACAAATTAAGACTCCCTTGGGGGAGGGGGTTAGCACCACACAATTCTTAGTCAATCCTGAGAGGATATTGGGCATCCCTGAGCTGAGACATCTCTCTCTGCTCCACTCACTTGCTCCCAGCAGGTACAGCTAGTCCTATCGTTAAGAAATAATCTTAGTTTAAGCATTTTTTGTGCATTTCCCTATGGCTCGATTTGCTCGCGATAGCACAGCGGGTAGGACGTTCGCCTTACAAGCGGCCAACATGGCCGACCCGAGTTCGATTCCTCCGCCCCTCTCGGAGAGCCCGGCAAGCTACCGAGAGTATTCGATATGCCAGACACAGTAACAACAAAGTCTCCAATGGAGACGTTACTGGGCCCGCTCGAGCAAATCGACGATCAACGGGAGGGCCTTTACCTTTACCTTTTACCTTCCCTATGGCACCTTGGTCTTTATTTGTTAAAAACAGCTGAATTCTCTTTCCACACCTAATAGGCTCCTCACTACGTATGATCAAGGGGTGCCAATGAGCTTTAGTGGCTGAATTCCAAGAGCTAGAACAAGCTTAACCTTCAAGTTTGTATAGACTCTTGATATATGTAGCTTTTTAACAAAATCGTTCCATTTGGTTCTTTATGAATACAGGTAGAAAATCACTCTTGGGTTGGGCAACATAATAGATCTTTTCATTCTTTTTTGAATTTTACTTGGAGAGACTTTTTGTCTTGTTTGCTCACACCCAGTGATGTTCAGGCTCTGAGTGAGTATAGGAATGATATTTAACTCTGCTGCTTCCCAACCAAAGGCTCACTTCTATCATCTGAAAATGGTAATAATAGCGCTAGACACACTGAGGATTAAACTAGATAATTTTCATAAATCACTTTACCCAAAAATTCTGAAGTGTTCATTAGCTCTTATCGTTATCATCACCACTAGTGCAATGAAGCTCCTGTCAGGTTACAAGTGGACGTGGTCAGTAAGTCAGGTGGTCAGCATGTCCCTGGATCCAGCCAGGCCCACTTCTCGCTTCCTTTATCTTGGTAGTAACATTTCATAAACATCTCGCCCGCACAGCGAAGCCTGGCAAGCTACCCGTGACGTATTCGATGTGCCAAACACAGTAACAACAAGTCTCAAAATGGAGACATTACTGGGCCCACTCAAGCAAATCAGTGAACAATGGGAGGACAGTGACAGTGACAGTGGACAAACATAGAAACTTTTATATCTGTGGGTTTCATGAAGGGTATATTGCTTCAAAATTTAAAAGTAAAATTTATGTCATTTGAAAGATACTCAAAAACCTCCTTGATTTATTAATAAACTCTAGTTTGTTTCTTAAGTTGAAATTGTCTAGTGCCTATTATAAACACTTTCACTTTCAAAAACAACAAAAAAGCAATTTTATCAGATCAATTGCTTAACTGATGCGTTGTACATCTCTGCAGTTTGAATTAACTTCAGATGGTGCAATTAAGATTTCCATTGAGATTAAAACTCTTCATGAATCATGGTCTTGCATTGCAAATTATTTTAAATAGAAGAAGCAAAGGTAGAAGATGGAAAAGAAGACCAAAAGGAGATGCAAAAAGGAATAGTCAAACCAAGGAGTTGAGTAAGATAAGATTCTCTATCGTAACAGCTTTTACAGTTTCTAATTTTGCTCATCCAAAACTGACCAGTGAAGGAAAGGAAAAGGACAAAAAAATAACGCTGGGCAATGCATCTTCATTCCTTTAAGGTGATTTTCCCCCTCTCTTCTTTCTTTCCTTTTCTTTGTTGCGGTGCTGGGAATAGATCTCAAGCCCTCACACAGGTGAGGCACCTACTCTACCACTGAGCCACATGCCCTGTGCCAAATGTTAAACAAAGCTGGAGAGAAAAGGACTGATGTCCTTTCTCTGGGAAATGTGTTAGAACCCTTTCTTTATTTGCATAGGCAGAAGAGCATTGATGATCTGAATGGCCACCTTAGCTGGGACTGTAGAAAGCCTTCAGTCCCGGTCACTTCTGTGCCCATCTGGGGTTTGGGAGCTGTAAGAGCTGTGTCATTGTCATTCAACGCTGTGAGCCAGAGGGGGCCGGCGCAGGACCCTGGGAGGGTGTGCTCAGACCATGCTCAGACTCGGGTGGGAGTGGTTGTACAGGAAGCACAGAGACCCCAGCGTAGGTTCTGGATGTTTGGTAAGGGCAGAAAGAAAATAAAGGGTGCTGTGGAGGCAGTGGGAGGGTGGGAAAGGAGTATACTCGGGAGATTGGTGGTGGGGAATGTGCACTGGTGGAGGGTTGGGTGTTTGATCATTGTGTGATTGTAACCCAAACATGAAAGCTCGTAACTATCTCACGGTGATTCAATAAAATTGAAAGAAAAGAAAAGAAAAGAAAAGAAAAGAAAAGAAAAGAAAAGAAAAGAAAAGGAAAGAAAAGGAAAGAAAAGAAAAGAAAGGGGCTTGTGTTGGAGATTGGTTGGCAACAGACCCTAGCCAGCAGGAGAGTCAGGAGAGCTGTGTGGATGTACAGTTGGGAAGGAGAGTGAAAGAGTGAGAAAGAAGCATTTCCGTAGGAAGTTATGGAGAAGTACAGTTGCAGCAGAAAGAGCAGCAAATCCTGAGCTTCCCCCAAGGAGCAGAAAAGACCTCTTATCCTTGGATGGTCACAACTCTTTGGATGTGTTGGGATTCAGGTTGCCAGGAGAGCACCTGTATGACACCCGGAAGCAGGACAGCAGTTAGTTGTTCTCTGTGGTGTAGGAAGTGTCGTGTCTGCGCCTTGTCCCCAACCATCCTGTTCTGGCTGTTTCTCAGGGTTTTCAGTGCTTCGATCTGATTTGAAAAAAAAATAAAAGCTCAAACCAGAGGGTCAGCTCAAGCTGGACAGCTCAAAAGGACCAGCAAGATTGCAGCCATGCTGCAGGGCAGAGAAAAGCAGAAAACTGAGGCTTGTTCAGGCTGTGAGCAGCCAGTTGGGCCGCTGCTCCTCTGCATACCCCCTTCCACTCCCCTGCATGGCTGGAGCGTCGCAGAGTTCCCAAGTGCATTAGTGTGAAGGCACTTTCTCTAAGGATAGAGTGTCTCTGCTGCAGCCTTTTATAGACAAAATTCAGCACATGCGCATATTTAAAAAGTCACTGCGTGCAGGCCATTTTGACAAATGACGCCTCTGCGTGCAAAGGTTGAATGTGTAAGTTACTTTAATCAGATTGTTTCCAAAGACCTGAACGCTTATTGAGAGCTTTAGTCAAGCCCATGGAACAGAACATACTTTAACACAATCCTTGAAGACAGGATCATTTGGCCTTAGACAGCTACGTAGGGGAGGAAACACTCAAAGAAGGTGGGTTCTTGTAGGAAGTGGAGGTAGGGGGCAGAAGTTAAATGGAGACTTAAGGGAGAAGAATGAAGCAAGAAAGTGAGGTGGATGAAAGAAAGCCCATGAAAATGTTTTTTGATCCTCCCCAATTCAGATCATCCTTGCTGCTGTATGTTTATTTCACTGCATTATTCAATAGACTTTTTAATTGATTATGTAACAGGCCATA